AGCTCTGATCTGAAGAACTCCCGAAGAAGATGTATTAGTTGAGCCCACCCGCTACTGGCAGCAGGTGAGGGAATGAGAACCTTGAAAACTTTGCCGCTTTTGATCGATTCCGAAATTTGGAGATACGGCTTTCCTAAGAATCGAGCCCTTCCGATGTGGATTGTACGCGCCTCGCTCTTTTTGATACAAAGTCTAGGAAAGCTCCATTCCTTCATGGCTGCCGTTTGCAAGGCTCCCTGTAGCCACGCAAGCTGTTCGCCGTTTAATAGAATAAACCATTTCTTCATGTTCACAGAGACTTGTAGCTTGTACCATACTGCCGTCCCTGCCGACTGTCGCGCGATGGACACCAAACGCTCTCCGAACCAAGACCCTCGCGAGCACTCCTCCTGCCGCTTGTCGCCGCCGCTCAACCCTGGACCTTGAGGCCTGTGCAACCAAACAGGAGAAGAAACAGGAGAAGAAAAAAAGTTAGAACCTCTCCCCGCCCAGTCTCTTACCCTCTCTGGATCTCTATCACCCTTGTTCACTCTCTCTTGTTTTCTATCTCTAACTTGGTCTCTCACTCTCTCTCTAGCCATGACCATAGTATTTTATGAGGACGACGATGATAATAATCTTCAATTGGATTTCAGCGTGCAGGTGAGTAGCTTGAAATTTCCATATCCTCTTCTTCATTTGAATAAAGTTGGTCGGCTACCTGTGTGTGACTAGAAGCAACATTTGATTTTGTTTTCTAACTCCCATAGGAGTCCAACTTCCAGGTAGTTAGTTTTAATTATTCGGATTCTCATGGTTTGTGAATTGCACAGTATGCAGAATGTTGTTTTCCAGATATCCTCTGGTGATGGTAAATGATATAGTATCAACTGTGATGCGAAACCCCATATGACATTGTTGTTTTATTTGGCCACATCATGCATTCCCCATATGTTTACCATAATGTGGAGAATTATCATAACTTAGGTTAGCAGCACTTTGATGAATTTTTTGTTAATGCTCTTTCGTGATTGGTTGTTGAGCTTCTTGAATCTTGAGTCTGTGTGTAAGAGGCATAAGGAAGTCCTTAAACTTGATGAGTTCACCTTCCAATTATTGTCACAATAATATACAGTGCTCATGTTTAGTTACGTGACACTGGAAAGTAAACCAAATACAGTGTCATGCGTTAAGGTAGAGCTTTTAGGATTGGTGTTGTATACTTTATGCAGTGGTTTAGATGCTGTCAAATTCCAGTGCTTTACAAGTAGCCATTATATTGTTTGAAAGTTATTACAGCATTAATGAGTCTGATTCTTTGAGTTTGTCACCTGCAATGCTATGGTTTTTTTGGTATGTGGGCAATGGTCTACTTATCCAATCTCTCAAATTCATTTCTTGCATCTATCATTCTGATGTTTTTTATACGTCCTGTACATGGAATTAGTGGATTGAAGGTCTGCACTCCAACTGATTTGTATGCAATACTAGGGAAAATAAAACACTCACTCCTTCACATTAACTGGCTTTCCGGGAGAGACTCCATAGCTTGGTTTGGATTAATAATAGCATGCTCCAAAGCATGGGCGGGCAAAGGAAATATTGGGAACTAAGAACAGACAGCTTGAACGTGTTTGATTCACTATAGACATCTAAATCAGCAGCAGAGCGCCTGCAGCAGAAATTGGATGCTCCTTCTAGCTATGATCCTGCTTTTGTGAAGTTTTTGTTTATCATTCCGGTTAAGAGAGGTGCCAGTTCATGCTCCACAAGCTTTCAATCTAAGCATTGACAAAACTTTGTAACATATTCCCATTTACTTATTTTGGCATAATTGGACTAGAGCACTTCTACTATGCTATAAAGTATTGGTGCTTTAATGTACAACTCAAAGTTGTACCATAACATTAAATGTATAAGTTTAGGTTGTACCATAAAGCAATTTGTACCATTATATTATGGTACAACTTTATAACTTGAAGTTGTACCATCACATAAAGGTACAAGTTCAAGTTGTACCATAAAAGAATTTGTACAAAAAGTATAGGTACAATCTAAAGTTGTACCATAACGTAAATGTACAATTTTAAGTTGTATCATAAAGGAAAAAACCTATAGCACCAATACTATATAGCATTGTAAAATTTCTCATTGGACTAATGTGATTTATTAGTAGTTAGACTGATGTGCTCATGTCTCCACATTTATAAATTGGCTATTACAAATAGTTAGGGGGTGACAAACGGTAAGCCGGTAATCGGTTTACCGTTTTACTGAATCGGTAACCAGCGATAAACGGTAAACCGATTACCGGCGGTATCAGTAGTCGAGTGTGAAATGGGGAAGTTTGGTTTACCGGCCCCAATTACGGTAAATGCGGACGGTTAGTCGGTAATACCGATATCGGGGACCAGTATAAGAGTTAACATATAACATATATTCCATTATTCACAAATATTACATATTTGAATGGAAGTATAGGTCTCAAAAATATTATAAATAAGAGTTAATAATAAATTATTAATTACAAAAATGAAGAAAAAAACTCAGAAAAATTAAAATTTTACAACCTACCCCCCACTGTCCAGAATTTCGTTTCGGTAATTTTCCAGTAAACCGAACCGAAAACCATCTACAGCCCCTACTCACCGTAAATAGGTAAAATCGGTTTGTGACCTTTTACCGGAAATTCGGTAACCGGTAAAACGGTTACAAACCAGTAACGGTATTCGATTCCCCCCCCCCCAATGCTCGGCATATCGTTTACCAGTTCGGTCGGTAGTGTTAGCGTGCTTATTTGAATAGAAATATGAAAATAAACATTGTTCTTTGGAATTTTATTTAATTAGGAGTATCGGCTATCACGGATGTAGTTTTGCACAACCTGTAATTAATAACGACTTGGGTTCAGGTACAAAATCCCATCATGCAAAACTTCCAGTCATATCATCGTATCACCGATCTGGAACTAAAGTTGCACAACTTGTAATTAATAACGACTTTGGATTCATTGCATTTGATAAAGTTTCTATGTACAAATTTTTCGGGCAACGGGCCGGACACAAGCTAGTAAAAAAAAGAAGGAGAAATTGTGGTGTTTTTTATTTAACATTTATGGAAAGAGAAAGAAGTGGAAAATTTTGTGTTTTCAACTTGTTGGAAATGAAAAGAAGAGAGAAATTTGTTGTTTAATAAATTTTTGGGAAAAGAGAGAAAGAGAGAGTTTTGGTGTTTAGGTTTATAGGAAGAGGAAAAAAGTGAAAATTTTTGGTGTTTCCAACTCTTTGGGGGGAAAGAAGAGGAAAATTTGGTGGTTCAAGTTTTGGGAAAATAAATAAGAGATAGTTTTGGTGCTTTTAATTTGTAGGAAGAGAAAGAGATAGGAAATTTTATTTATGGAAAGAAAAATAAAGGGGAAATTTAGTGTTTTCAATAAAAAAAATTGAAGAGAAAGAAGAAAAAAAAGTTGATCACAATGTTTACATATGATGGTGTGGTAGTTTAAGTAATTATCAATGTGATTATCATAATATTTACATATGATGATTTAATAGTCTAACATTTATTAATTAAAATATTGTCTATAGCAAACCTACTATAGTCTTATAGGGCTTGACTAATTTAATATAGTAGATTTGAGAACATGTAATGAGTTATTCTATCTCAAATGAATATTATTTTACATTTAGGTGTGAAACTTAATCTCACTTATTAATTTTCCCACCATATTTTTCATTTAGGTGGGGAAATTTCCCTCCTTATTTTGATATTTTCATTACAACTTTTCATTTCTCCAATGAATCTCTCCCCACCTTTTGTTCCCCTCATTTTGCTCCCTCTACAATTTGTCCCTATCAAAATGAAAATCTAGGGAGGGAAAATCCCTTCAATTTGATGCACCAATGTTTCCTTTCATTTATTATTAGGTCTGATTCTCATCTCTCATGATCTGTTGTTTATAACATTAGTGTTTTATCTAGATTTTGCATATGGAAATAAATAAGGATTATTGATTGGCAACGCTTGCAACATTTTGCCATGAACCTTAATTCATATATATTTTTGTTAAACAAAAAGTTTATACTTCACACATAAGAGAAGTAAGTCTGTAATTTATTATATACATAATTCATGTCTTATTTTGTTATTCAATTTCGCTTCCCGTTCCAAAATGCCACCGAAAATTTCTTTTTCCTTGATATATATTGTCGTCCAACTTTTTCCTTCCCGCTCCAAAAGGCTGCCCAAATTTTCATTTGAATTGATCTATATTGCCCCCCAATTTCCGTTTGGGTTAATTTATATTGCCGCCCAAAAATGTTGAGATAGAAAAAAATATTTTTCTTCTTTGCTTTTAGAGTGGTGTTTTGTTTTCTGAATGTATGGTTTGTTAATAGTGTCTATTGTTTGCAAATGTTAATATCGTTATTACTGTTAGCTAGTCTACTTTATCAATTATCATTAATTACATGACAAGTTTGCAAATCATACAAATTGATTCAACATTTTCACTAGTTTTTTTTTTAAATTTAAGTATATATACAAGGTAGAAAGAAATTGGTTAAAAATTGTGAACAATATTTTAAATTAGTGTAATAAAATGTGTAAATATGAGCGAGTAAGGAGTAAGTAACTCGATGCGTTGACCCGAACAACTCGAAATTCGATTCGACTGCAACCCGCCTGACCCGAAACCCAATGAACCCGCAACTCAATTTGCCCACAACCCGATTGAACCCAAATCGATGAACCTGCTACCCAACTAATCCGCAAGCCGATTGAACTCGAACCCCATAGACGTGCAATCCAATAAACCCAAAATCGAACTAAACCACAACCTGATTAAACCCGCCCCAACCTGTCCAAACCATATCTACTAACTACTTTTTTTTGTACATATCTACTACTAACTACTAATAACTCATACAAGATCCAACAACCAAAACGTTGGGCCTCCAGTTTCGACCGGCCCATAATTATAGAATTTCAGATACTTACACTGAAACTAATTAGCCGTTTCACATACTTCCTGGTTGAAAGCTGTTCCTAGATATTTCTTCGTCATCCATCCATGGCTGCTTCTCCACTCTCCGCTACCCCGAACCCCGTCCCGCAGCCTCTCGACCGGAAAATTCAACCAAACCCTATTTCTGAGCGCATACTGGCAGTTCCCATTCCCAAACACAGAGGCCCAGGACCCGATACATATTCGAAGCTGTCCCCTTCTCACTCTGCTACTCACTCTGCTCATGGCGCAGAACTCCAGAGAATCCAGCAGAGAGCATTGGCGGACTGGGAGAAAGCGCAGAAAATAGAGAAGAAGGAGAGAAAAGAAGAAAAGGGCATCAAAACAGGGTCACGAAAGGCCATATCCGTGATTCTGCGACGGGAAGCCACTAAAGCCATCATCGAGAAGAAGAGGGGAAAAACTAATTCCAAGAAATTGCTCCCCAGAACCGTCCTGGAAGCACTCCATGAACGAATCACCGCCCTCCGCTGGGACTCGGCTCTTAAGGTGCAGCTTTTGCCAGTCAATTTTAGTAATCAATTAGGAATCGGAGAATAATGTTAGCCTGTGAGTTGGTGGTGAGAGGTTTTGGTTTAACTGTACACTTCCAGGTTTTTGAGCTGCTCCGGGAGCAGCTATGGTACAGGCCTTATCCGGGTATCTACGTGAAGCTGATTGCAATGTTGGGCAAGTGTAAACAGCCCGAGAAGGCTCGAGAGCTATTTGAGGCGATGATTGATGAGGGCTGTGCTTCAACTCGAGAATCCTACACAGCTCTCGTGTCGGCGTATGGCAGGAGTGGGCTGTTTGAAAAGGCTTTTTCGCTGCTTGAGGAAATGAAGGGGACTGCGGATTGCTACCCTGATGTTCAGACCTACTCCATCCTCATCAAATCATGCCTCCAAGCTTTCGCCTTTGAGAAAGTGCAGGTTCTGCTCTCTGACATGGCTGCTTCTGGAATCAGACCCAATGTTGTCACTTACAACACCCTTATCGACTCCTATGGCAAGGCCAAAATGTAAGTCATCTTCTTGGGATGATCTCACTTGGTATCAAACACTTCCAACTCGAGAGATGGTAATTCTCATTATTAATCATTTTCTATGCTTAATGAATGATGGGTTTATCTAGATTTTAAATTGTGTTGGAATCGTTGTTTGTAGGGAGAATGTAACCTTTGATGTTGAATCTCTTGAGGAACTTAGATGGCCTATTGCAGAATGAAAATGATGGTGGATTGTTTTAGTGAGGCTGCTCGAATTGATTACTGTTTGTTTCCTTTTCACAAAGGTTTATGGAGATGGAAGCAACGCTGGTACAGATGTTGAGTGAGCAGAACTGTGCGCCAGATGTATGGACCATGAATTCCGCAATGAGGGCCTTTGGCGGAAGTGGACAGATTGAGATGATGGAGAAGTGCTACGACAAGTTCCAGAGTTCAGGCATTGAGCCTAACATCAAGACCTTCAACATCCTTCTCGATTCGTATGGCAAAGCCGGAGAGTACCAGAAGATGAGCGCGGTGATGGAGTACATGCAGAAGTACCACTACTCATGGACCATTGTGACGTACAATGTGGTGATTGATGCATTTGGCCGAGCTGGGGACTTAAAGCAGATGGAGTATATGTTCAGGCTAATGCAGACCGAGAAGATCAAGCCCAGCTGCGTCACACTCTGTTCTCTCGTCCGAGCTTATGGCCAGGCTGGGAGGCCTGAGAAGATTGGTGGCGTGCTGAGGTTTATCGAGAACTCGGACACTATGCTCGACACGGTGTTCTTCAATTGCTTGGTGGATGTTTATGGGAAGATGGGGTGCTTTGCTGAGATGAAAGAAGTGCTCGAGTTGATGGAGGAGAAAGGTTGTAAGCCCGACGCGATTACATATAGAACCATGCTCAAGGCTTATAAAGATAGAGGAATGAGCAGCCATGTAAAGCAGGTGCTCGAGCTACTTAGATCAGTTGAAGTTAGTCGAATGCCCAGAAAGAAACCTGATTTTTGAAAGCAGTAACTTTCAGCAATGCACCGGTCATTCACGTGGTTCTGATGTAGATCGGCTCTTTCACTTTCATCCTTGCCGTGTATAGTTTGCATGTATCTGCAGCTATTTGTTAAAGATATCTCGCCTTAGATTCCACATCATAGGATAGAGTTGGATAGTCATAAATAAGTTGATGAAAGTGAAGAAATTACTCGATTGGCCAAACATTAAATTCTATTAATCATGTAATATAATATTATAACCAAAATATTCAAACTAATACAAGAACCAAATTAATCAAAGTAAAGTTTAATCGGTTTGGTTAATTGGTTAATCAGATTAATCAATATAACATCACATTATCATTTGGTGAGAAAAACTTTCGGTTAATGCATTAATTCACAATTTATATAACAATCAACATATACTTGTAATTAACCCTTAACATAAATACATGCAACTAATACAATTATCTTACTGTCGATAGAAGTATTCACCTAACAAAAATATATGTCAATAGTATGGAGTTAATGAATTATTGTGTTTGTGTGAATTGACTTAGTCTCTTAGCATTATCATAGACTGTAAAAAATATTCCTTTCAAGTTTTCATCCAACGTAATGTATGAGTTTCATCTAGATTAGACGTCCATATTTTGTAGTCTACACTCTACAAATACAAATATCTATTATATGAACAATATTGAGCTTTATTTTTTATGAGGCTAAAAGAGAAGAACGTTTTTCTCTTGAGTGGTTATGCAAAGTATTAAGTATGTGTATAAAATTGATCGCTCTGACTATCACAATAAAATCCCACCTAAGGTCCAATTATAAACCTTAGATGGTGCAATATAGGGCAAGTATGTTTAAATATCGACCCGGGCCGACCCATGTACTACTACTTCGATTGTTTGAAACATTATCTAGCGGATTGGTTTTGGTGAAAACAAAGTTCTAAAGCTAAAATTACTTTGCAAATATGAAATGGATTCGACACTAATTGAGAAGGCTTCAGTGGGGTGTTGCTCCCCCTAGCTAACAATTACGACTTGAAGTATCGAACGACCGTGTGTGGTTAGGGGGTTATAAATTGGAGGGAAGTCTAACAAGTAGCCAAAGCTACCCTCTTAGTCTCTAGGTCGAGGAAACGGGATACGATCCAAGCCACTAATGCGACCCTCTCAACCTATTGACTAAGGAATGGTTAGACTTCACCCTCGAATTGGAGTTTGGAAGGCCACCCATAACCAAACCCTAAGTGCTAAGACAAAATAGGAGGTTTTCCCTGCATTAAACTAACTAGGAGGCAACAAATTACCTAAGAAAACCCAGCATCAAGCCTCTTTCAAAGAAAGGAAGGGGGTTTTCTCTCTACCTAGGTTAGAATGACAATTAGATTGATATGCTTTCACACAACACAATCATTCATGAATAATACCTCCACATTCACATTAAACACAACCACACACAAATCATTCAATTCATAGAAGAATTTACATAATTGTAGCTAGGGTTTACAAACACTCAAGTGAAAGAAGGGACTACTCCATGCTAAGAGAAGGGAAAACGCAAGAGAGAAGAAGGAAAACCATCAAAAAGATGCAAGCCTTGCTCCTTGTGTTGAAGAGATCCTCATTTGGGGGAGGAATTCCCAAATCCTTGCTTGGAGATGAATCCCTAGCTTCTCCTCTTCTTTGGTTCGTCACTTTCTCACTCTAAAATTTGAAGAAGAAGAAGAAGAAGAAGTTTCTCACGCTAGGTCTCCCCCTTTCTTCTTTCTTTCACCTGGCCATTTATACCGAGATAGAGCCCAGTTCACGGCCTGAGTTCACGTTTGTGAACATCAAAACGCGTCCGTGAACACAGTGTGCTGAACCAAAACGCACCGCTTCACTTCTTGGGTTCACTGTTTGTGGTTGCAGTTCATGGTCTTAACGACCGTGAACAACCTTAGTGTCAGTAACCTCAAAACCCTCTCTGGACACTCATTGGTGTTGTGGTTCCAGTTCATGGTCCTGGAGACAGTGAACTCCAATGGCAGACCGTGAACATAGGCTGTCTCCTCCTCTTTGGCCGACCTTTGCTCCTTTTCTTACAACTTTGGACTCTAGGGTTGGTTTCACCTGTTAGGATCTGAAACACAAGAAACCTAGCATAAAACCACCACTTTTGAAGCTCAATTGCAACAAACGTCAAAGAGAAACAAGGATAAAAAGTGTACAACTAGGCCCGAATTACTCCCCCACACCTAGACGTTTGCTTATCCCCAAGCAAACCATTTCACACAAGATAATATCTCAACCTAATAAAATGCTTTGTGGACAAATCAAAGGGCACAAAGTTGCGAATCCCAATGGATATTGGCAATTAACACATGGACCGTTGCAAGCAATACCGACATCCACCACAAACGACATTCGAGGTCACCAAAAATGGGCAAACGAAAAATTCTCACCTTGTTCATGAATCAATGCAAGTCTCAACAAAATCACTTATCAATCACAACTAACCATGCATAACATTCAAGTCCAAGGAACAAACAAATGGGCAACAAAGGTCCTCACCGGGGTATGATATGACATGCAAAGCAAGAATGAATCACTCACTCTCTTGACCAGTGGGGTCGGGACCTTTTTGGTGCAAAGAATGTGCACAATCATCAACACTCGGCCCTATCGTCTCTTCACCACGCCGGCAACCTCTATATGTTAGAGTTCATCACTAGCTTGTCTGGAGGTCTTAGACATGGGTTCAAATGACTGGCAACTGTCTTGGACATGGGAAAAAGCTTTTTGGGAGGTGGCAAACACATCATTAGGTCCTACATCTTCACCCTAAACTCGAAGGTTCTATGGTTTCAACTAAGAATCTTCCCTACAAATAATGGCCACTAGCATTGGCTAAAAACATTGTTTGTCCCTTCCAAATTATCACCCATCATGAACTACCTTTAATCGCTCTTCCTCGGTCTACTCTTGCTATCACATTTCGACTTGGTAGTGAAGGAGTTCTAAAACAATGTGAGGGTTTCAATGGCTTGAGTGCCAAGAAACCCCACTTAGATCATACTCTTTGATTCTTTCGTGGCACTCTCTACTTTATTTACACTTCTTTTTCGTTTCTTTTTCTTTTTACTTTTATTTCCTTTCTTTTTTGAAATTATTTTCTTTTTGAGGGGGATACTAGAGAGGTAAAAACTTGCCACATTACCTTTAACAACCAATGCTCTCTTTTAAAAACTCACTCCAACACTACTCTTTCCTCTTTCATTCCTAGCAAGAACCGCACACAATCCTCCTATGTAGAACCTCAATGGAACTCAAAAGCGAAAGCTCTGGGACACAAGGACAACTCATGTATATACACGACGAAAGGATGGGGGATCGTTCTATCAAACACAATTAAGCTCACAAGCACAAAGCACCAACAAGAGAACGACCCCCAAAGTCACAAAGCTCAAAGGATTTGACTAGGAGATAAAACATTTCGGGACAATCAACATTTGGGCGTGGACTAATCCTATGCCTCCATCATACTCACTAGTGACAGCTGTGATGTTACTCGCCATGGTAAGAGGTATCTAAGCACACAAGAAGAAAACAATCGACTCAAAACTCACATGGCTACCTAGTCACCCAATCATCCATTCCAATTTCACAAAACACAATCCATGACAATTGTAATCAACAAGTAATCGAGTCAAGACATCCATTCATTTTTGCACACACGAGAACTAAAATTTTGCACTATCCTAATGCACCTCTCAATCATCATCATAGGACACACTCGATCACATGCAATAATTCAAGGTCAATGCCAATAAACACGAGATTCTTCTACAAACCGGCCACTTTGATCATGCAAACATTTCTTGGAGCCCTCAAAATTTTCAAATTTGGGCATACATCAAGGCTTTAAGCATCAATCACACTCACACAAGCATAAGAATAAACTCCCCCCCCCCCCCCGCCCCCACACACACTTAAGTTCGACATTGCCTTCAATGGCGTAAGATAGGGGTAGAACGATGTTACCGCTTGGCTTGGTGAGTGAAAGCTGGAATTTTTCTGGGGTAGGAGAGTTTAGCTTCAAGGAGAAGACAAAACACACACACACAAACACAACACATACTCGCTCGAGGCGATGTTATTACACAAAGCAATACGATAATAGTAGTTGTTCACACATACTAAATAAAAGAAAGAAAAAATAAAACAACAGAGTTCAGAGTTCCAAGTGAAGAAGTGGGGCGAAAGGAATCAGCTCTCTCACAAGTCTCACTCGTCGTCTACCTCTCACTAAGTGGAAGGCCCAGTCTCATCATCTGGAAGGAGGCACTGACGATGAGCAATCCGGTCAAGCAGGTTGGTCTGACGGTCAAGCCGGGAAGTGACACCCACGATGTGTGTCTCAAAACATTCGATCTCTCCACAAGGGGTACCCCAGAAGTGGAAGGACCGACGCCTGATGGTGGTGGAGGTGCTGCTGCTAGTGCAGGACGCTAGAGCGCGGGACACCGGCGGCGGCCGGGAGCTCGAGCAGGTTGCTATTCTGGAGGTGGGACCTCTGCATCGGGCTCCACTTGAGCCGGGTCAACTGCTGGCCTCATGAAAGGGTCGGAGGCCCTCGAGGTACTCTATCCCCCGCTCTCCCTGAAGAACTAGCTTCTGGTTGTAGAGAGTCGCCACTGGGAAGGGCTTAGTCCGACCAACGATGGAGCACTGCTCCAAATCCACGTGAAAGTGTCGGGCTAGCCTCGTGATGATGCCCCTCATGTGCATGGTATCCACCCTGTTCCACCCTAAACACCGGGCAAAAGAGGTGGCAATCAGCGATCCCAAGTGGATAGGCTCTGCTAGGTGCCCCATGGAAAAGAGAGCAAGCAGCCCTCTGTTTGTGATCAAATGGGCGGAGTGCGAGTTGGGGGACGACGGATCAGGTGAGTAGCGTGTGCATAATCCTCCATGGGGTCCTCAGCTTCACCACATTGGTGCGACCAGCCTCGAACTCGTCCTGCTCGTGCTCGGAGCGGCAGAGGGCCTGGAATGCGGCCTGGTAGTGGAAGTCGACGGTATACTGCCGCTTCGTCATCGTCATGTATGTCGTGTCGAGCCCCATTGCTTGGGCGAAGGCATCATAGGACAGCACTCCTGGCTGACCGCCCAGAATAAACTCCACGTAGGGCTGACTCTTCTTACTGGTCGGGACGACGTGGGAGAA